AGAGTGTCGACGTAATGCTTTCTTGTGGCGACGTGAAATCTACTTCCCCCTCCATTGTCGTCGCCGGTACCTGACTCAGGGACAGCAGCAGTCTTCGAGTTTTGGGAATCTCAGAGCAGATCAAACCCACTCCTCTGTAGGCTCCAACTCGGTAAGCACTCGAATCCTAGGTTTAATTCCTCCAAGTTGCATGCTCATCTCTTCCATCAGCAATACTTTCCCCATGGTAACCAAAAAAAAAAAAAAACTCTTTCTTTTTTCTTTTTTAACTCTCTTTGGTTTGTTTGGTTGCCGAGAAAAGTGGGGAAAGAGAAATCGATGAGAGAGAAAATTAATATTTTTGTTTCTTTTAAGGTTTTTCAAAGATGGATTGCTGCTTTGTTTGTCTTGAGTTCGTGTTCTGTTAGGATTGCAGAGTTGTGAAATTACAGAGTTGTGAAAGAGATTGCTTTTCGGTTATACAAGTCCAATTAATTAGCTGATTTCTAGGATTAGTCTTTATGATTTAAAGGAGGAGGATTCTTGTTCAAGGAGTTTGAAGAGTTGCTGAAAATGTAGATATGTTCGAATGCATATCTTTCATTATTGTCTTTGTTAGTTTGATAAAACACAAGTTTATAACATTGGTGTCAGAGTTAATTGTGAAAAAAAAAATGTGTAGTTTCTTCTTGAACTGATATTTGAATTGGCTTTTGCTTTTTTCCTCCTCTCACTATGAGCCATTTTCAAAAAATTAGAGGCACAAAAATTGATCCAAGAATCTCATCCTTCCCGCCTCCAAACCGCCTACATTGTTGGGTGGTTTTGGATCGGTAAATTTCTCTTTGAGACTTCATTTTGCCTTTTTCTTGTTTATTGGTTTGCTCATGCTGAACTTTTGTATATAACAGAGAGAAATGAAATAAGCAATTTGGTATGTGAAAAGCCAGGTTTCATATTTTGAAAAGCTTAACCGTTACCCCATTGAAAAGCAAGTTAAGGTTCCGATTGCATGTGCTATAGTCCATAATTTTATCCACATATACCGTAGTGGAGATAGACTATTGGATCAGTACTCACAAGATAGTGTTCTAGTTGCGGACATTGATCCTTATAATGTTGAAGAGGATATCAATGAAAATAACAACCACGAAGGACAACCATTGAATTATAATCCAGAATTAGAGATGAATGCGTTAAGGGATGCAAGAGCGCATACAATGTGGACAGTGCACCGTAATCGTCGTACGCGCTAATGATAGTGTATGTAGAATTACGATATTAATTATTTATATATTGTTGTCTTTTTGCTCTCCATTTGTAATGGAAACTGATTTCCTAATTTTTTATATGGTATTTTAATTTATTTAATGAAGAAAATGTCTACTTTGTTTGTAAATTTATTACTACTTGTAGATGATTCACTTTTATTTATTCAGATTAAATTGCATAAAATCAATTTAATGAAAGAAAGAAAAAAAATTTCAGAATACTATTCATAACTCAAGTATTAGCTTAAACAAACACAAACTCAAATAAAGTTTAATCTCAAACTATAACTCAAATTTACACAACCAAACACAAACTCAAATTATAACTTCAACTTAAGTTATAACTCAAACTCAACTTAAGATCTACACTCAAGTCACCTAACTTAAAAATAACAAAAGAACAAGTCCTAGGGTTTCTAAATAACACTATAACTAAGGGCATTTCTGGTATTTTAACAATGTGGTAAATTACATTTATTAGAATTACGATATTCACTAATCTATTTAAAACTTTATGCCATTAAATTCTTTTTACTTTCCTGAATATATTATTTCCCTACTTGTCCCTAGAGCTAAATGGCACATCGCCAACCCTTATTTAAGTGAATGGCACATCTTTTCTAAAAATTGGCAGATGACAGTTTTTTATAATCTTAAAGATTTTGATTAGTCAATCAACGATAGACCATAAAAACAATCATGAGGGGGAAAAAAAAAAAGTAGCCTGCATGTGAATTGGGACACTTTTTCTAAGGAAAGGCAAAAAGAAAAAAAAAAGTTGGCGTCATTTCTACAGATGACTTTACTGACGAAGATCCGCTGAAATTTTTTGAGATCTCCCTTCGTACGATGTTGGCCACCTCTCTTTGCTGCAGTGACAGAGAGCAAAATGTGTCTGTGTGAGAGAGAGAGAGAGAGAGATGAGCGAGAGAAACAGAAAGAAATGAGCGAAAGAAAGGCGTTCACTTTATTAATTTTAATTTAAAATTTTAATTTTTTTACAGTAAAAAATTTTTATAAATAATTATATTTAATTTTTTTATTATAATAAAAATTTTTTACATAAAGTCACATCTCAACTCAAATTTTAAATTCGAATCAACGAAGCAAACGAGGTCTAAGATCAAAAAAATTAAAAGCCCATTTTCATTTTTAATCGACCAAAAATTCCGCTAATTTTAAAGTGTTAATTACATATATGTCTATTGCGCAGGAGTTGAAAAAATGAATATTTATAAGTTGTAATATTTATATATAAGTCTGTAAAATAATTTGTAATGACATTATTATCTTTTGATAACTACTCATACAAAAAGAGTATATCCGAAATAATATTATCTCAATAATCATAAAATAAATAGATTCATAATATTGTTAAATTAAAAATAAATTCAAAACATGAAGTATAAAAGTGATCGTTTTGTATAACTTTGGTGGCCGAACCCAATTCCCCAAAAAAATAAGTAATAAAAGTTAATATTGACATACAATCATTTTTTTTAATACTAGTTCTTGTTTTATGAGTTTTACAGAATTAAACTAAGACAAAAGTAATATGATTTGTTTTTGCTATAAAGAAAATCTAATTAATATGGTCAATATTTGATGTGTTATGATAATTAGGTAAAAGTTGCTTACTGATGAACCTTGAAGTCTAAGGGTAATTAATTAACGATCCTAATAATAAGAGCCTTGACTTACCTTTAAGCTAGATATTGGCCAAAAAAAAAAAAAAAAAACAGGTCGATGGTTTTGCATACATATTTTAGATTGATGATCTCGGATGAGGCGCAGTTATAGAGAAATAACAACACAAATGAATGCAATAACGAATGCAAAGCCAATTGAAAAAAAAGAAAATTGATACGGGATGATTCATGAAGATTAAAATTAAAAAAAAAAAAAAAAAAAAAAAAAAAAAAAAAAAAAAATCAAGTCCTTTCGAAGACAAGATATCTGCATACTCTCTATCTCCATCATCAATGAAGCCGTGTCAAGCACGCTGACATGGATAGTTTAAACCAAATTAAACGGAGCCACAAAAATCGTCTTCGCAGAGAGCGAGAGTACCTACTACAGGCCAAAGACTATACTCGGGTTGTCGACGGCATGTCGTCAACGTCAACTTATTATTGTCGGGTCTTTGACTGACTGAGAGTAACAAATTATAACAATTGATAAATAATTGATAGGAAAACTGCTATATTATTGATTACGTAAAAGTGTAATATATATATAATATCAATATAAGGATAGAAAAGTAAATAAATATAAAAATAAATTAATATCCTTAATATGTCCCCTCAAGATGGTGTGCTAGAGGCAACACCAATTTTGTCACAAATGTCAAGTAGTCGAGGACGAGGCAAAGATTTCGTAAGGCATCAGCTAGTTGATCGGCAGCAGACACATGAACAACTCGAAGAAGTGATGACTGCACTAGGTCACAAACAAAATGATAATCAATGGCTAGATGTTTCATCCGTGAGTGAAACACAGGATTAGCACAGAGATATGTAGCGCCAAGGTTGTCCGAGTAGATGGTAGGTGTGGAAGTGACAGGGACAAGCAGTTCCTGAAGTAGCGTCTTAATCCATTGAATTTCAGCAGCAGCAGGGGCAATAGCACGATATTCTGCTTCAGTGGATGAGCGAGCAACGGTGCGCTATTTTGTCGACCGCCAAGATATGGGATTGGCACCTAAGAACATGACATACGCACCTGTGGAAGTGCGATCATCCGGATTTCCACCCCAATCGGCATCTGAAAATCCATGAAGCGCCAAAGGAGATGTTGCATGTAGTCAAATGCCAAGAGATTTGGTGCGATTCAGATAACGAAGCAGACACTTGACTGCTCCCCAATAATTTTCAGATGGCCGATGCATGAACTGAGAGAGTCTGTTAACAACAAATGATATGTCAGGTCGAGTCATGCGCAGATGCTACAGACCACCAACAACCTGACGGTATTTCGTAGCATCAACAGCAGGTGAACCATCATGTAGCAGTAGTGATGTACCAACAGCAAGCAGTGTGGAAACAGGCTTAGAATCAATCATATTATGCTTCTGCAGAAGATCAACAATATATTTGTGCTGAGACAGAAGCATACCATCGTTGGTTGGAAGAACCTCGACACCACAAAAATAGGAGAGTAACCCAAGATCCTTAGTCGAAAACTTAGAATCAAGTTTTTGAATGATCTGAGCAACTGTCTGAGAATCACTGCCAGTAATCAAAAGATCATCAACATACACCAGAAAATATACAAGGAGTGAGCCCTTGGACATAATAAAAAGTGATGTATCAACACGAGAGGTGATAAAGCCAAGAGAATGAAGAAACATCTTCAACTCCTGGTACCATGCACGCGGAGCTTGTTTCAAGCCATAAAGAGCCTTCTTCAGATGACAAACATAATTGGGAAACTGAGGATCTCGCATGCCAGATGGTTGTGCCATGTATACCTCTTCAGTAAGATGCCCATTAAGAAAGGCATTATTAACATCAAGCTATCGAACAGACCACCTGTTATGTAGAGCAACACTCAAGACAGTATGAACAGTTACTGGGTTAACAACAGGACTGAAAGTCTCATGAAAATTAACACCGGGACGCTGATGGAATCCTTTGGCAACTAGGCATGCCTTATAGCGGTCAATAGTTGCATCGGGTCGGCGTTTGATTCGAAACACCCACTTGTTACCAACAAGATTATGACACGGATCAGGTGGAACAAGATCCCACATTTTGTTGCGTTGGAGAGCCGCATATTCGTCTTTCATGGCCTGAAGCCACTTGGGATGGCGAAGTGCCTGGGTCACAGTAACAGGTTCGACATCAGCAGAAAGTGTAGCAGTGAGAGTATACCTGGGATTGGGCTTAACAATGGAGTTTTTAAGCCGAGTGGTCATCGGATGAATATTTATAACAGTCCCAAGGGGGGGGGGGGGGGGGGGGGGCGGCCCCAGCTGGAGCCGCGGCCTCGTAGTTTTCTGGAGATAGGGCCACGGTAGGCAGTATGCAAGGTTCGGCCTCAGTGTTTTCTTGGCACGGGGCCACGGCCGGCAGTATGGTTTGCACGGCTTCAATATTGGATGATTTACGGGCCGTCGAGGCCGGGGTAGTGTCACGCCCCCCAAACGGGGTGGGTGACGTGGAGCTCGATTAGGGATTAATAAAGCAGATTCCCAGACCGGGCCCCACACTTAACTGCATTAAAATATAAATGAATTACAGAATCCCGGAGCCTCTGACACACAGGGCTCCACCCCACAGGACATACAGTATCGTACATACATGCTCATGTAATTAATCATTACAACAGACATCAACCACAGTCTAGTAAATCCAA